CCTTTTTTCTATTTATTGAGACAAGAAACAGGCCTTTTTCCAATCTCAATACCCAATAGTGGTCAGAAAAAACTGCACTTTGGCAAAATTTGTGCAAATTAAAAAAGATACAATTTAAAATGGGGCCAAATAAAAAATGCAGCATTCCTGGCACTAAAAAACATTTTCTCTGTTTTTAGCATGTTTCCGGCCCCTTTATTTACTCTTGCTTTCTATTTTGAATTTTATTCACAAAAAAAATTTTGAAGATTTATGTTATTGTATAATTGTATAAATAATGTCACCCCCCTTAGACTGCTATTAGAAAGGCTAGTTGACATTTATTGTGGTGACGTCATTTTTTTATCTTGAACACTGCAAAAAAAGAAAAATTTTTTGCCTTTTGGCCAAATTTTAAGGTCCTTTTTTATCATGAAAAAATCAAATTCCTCTATTTCTGAATATGTCTTCCTTTTTATAAAAAGGACCCAAAAAAACGAAATACAAAACCCTAAATTTATACAAAAATACATCTAAAGTCTTTTTTAATCCAAAAACTGGTCAAAAATTTTTTTTTTCTTATTTGCACTGCGTCTGCAGGATTTTTTTTATCGCGCACACTACCACAAAGACCCATTTTCTCAAGTGGGCCTATCAGCTTTCTCCCCCCTTTTTAAGCCCTAGAATTTGGCATATTAATATGTCAAAAACCTGGCTGTAAGTGTATATTTTGACAAAAACAGTCAAAGGGTTTTTAAAAATTTTATAAATCAAAAAATTTCCCAAGCCTAAAACTAAATACAGCAAGACTTCATTTGTTTAGATTTTTTTTTTTACTCAACTGCTTAAGAAAGATATGCCATTTGAACAGACATAATGCACAGTATAGTCAAGAAAGAGCAATTGAAATACTCAAGAATAAACTAATGTCAACATGGCATAGGTGCATTATCTCAAAAGACAGATGGTAAGCAACAGCCAATAACCAAAGCTGAAGAGAACTACATATACCGTCTGTCACTGAACAAGCTTAAGCTATTGTACTTGCTTTTGGTAATTTTAGATCTAATCTATCAGCACCCAATCAGTATTTATACTGATTATTTAAACTTGATGTACTTGTTTGGGAACAATTAACTTACAAATCATGCAGCTTTTATTGACACAGTCTCCTCTCACTGTTAAGGATATTGAGAAAGTCCAATGTGAAGATCCAACTTGGTCACCTGTGATTAAGCTCCTAACAAAAGAGGAACCTAATTTGTTGAACGTCTCCTGTGTCACTGAGAGAATTGTGCTGAGTGGCTAAGTTTGCAGACACTGGTCAGAAGTCATGAAGGTCTTGGTACCTAATATTATCAAACTGATACATGATGCACCTGATGTTGCTCATCCTGGCAAGGGATGCAATGTCAGACAGACTAGAATGAAATACTGTTGGCCTAAGATGAGAGGGAAGACACTGAAATACTATATATGAATAAATGTGTGCAGCAATTTGTTTAGAGCAGAAGGGACACTTAAGGTGCTTTGGAGAGGATCTTCTGGTGATGCTTTGACATATTTCTATAGCTAAGAGATATAATAAACTACAGTAAAACCTTGATTTAATGGATCTTCATATAGCAAATTTAAGAAACACTGGATAAAATCTGTAGAGTAAATTGATTTTGAAAACAAAGGACAAAATCCACTAGGTAGAGAACTGTGCATTACTGTTAAGGCAAATAGTGGACAAATAACAGAAACAACAAACAAAATTCAGCTTGGTACAATACTGTCCATTTCTGTAATGTTATTTGGATTTACCAGACACCCTCTCCACCCTATTAGTCCACTGAGGTTTTTCTACACTTTCAATTATGATAAGACATCTGAGACTGTAGCTATTGCTTTTGACATATTAACTGTGTCCAGTGTACTAGTACTGAGACTTCCCTACATGCGAACATTTGTGTTGTGAACTTTCGATAATACGAACAATTTGTGGGAAGCGCCGAGGTGTAAACAATACATAGTAGATTACTCTAGCGGTATTGTTCATACACATGCTCGTGCTCTCTCCACAAATTCAGCGTTATTTGTGATTATTATACCTCCAATATGTCTGGTGTTAAGTACAAGAGCAGTGGTGATGCAGGTGGTAATGCTAAGAAGTGCCAGGCCATTGCAATGAAAACAAAAATGGACATGTACATGATTTTTTTTTATTAACACACTGGCCGATTCCCACCAAGGCAGGGTGGCCCGAAAAAGGAAAACTTTCAACCTCATTCACTCCATCACTGTCTTGCCAGAAGGGTGCTTTACACTACAGTTTTTAAACTGCAACATTAACACCCCTCCTTCAGAGTGCAGGCACTGTACTTCCCATCTCCAGGACTCAAGTCCGGCCTGCCGGTTTCCCTGAACCCCTTCATAAATGTTACTTTGCTCACACTCCAACAGCATGTCAAGTATTAAAAACCCTTTGTCTCCATTCACTCCTATCAAACACCCACGCATGCCTGCTGGAAGTCCAAGCCCCTCGCACACAAAACCCCCTTTTACCCCTCCCCCTCCAACCTTTCCTAGGCCGACCCCTACCCCGCCTTCCTTCCACTACAGACTGATACACTCTTGAAGTCATTCTGTTTCGCTCCATTCTCTCTAAAATGTCCAAACCCACCTCAAAAAACCCTTCCTCAGCCCTCTGGAAAACAGTTTTGGTAATCCCGCACCTCCTCTAACTTCCAAAACTACGAATTCTCTGCATTATATTCACACCACACATTGCCCTCAGACATGACATCTCAACTGCCTCCACCCTTTCCCTCCTCCTGCAACATTCATCACCCATGCTTCACACCATAAAGAGCGTTGGTAAAAACTATACTCTCATACATTCCCTTCTTTGCCTCCAAGGACAAAGTTCTTTGTCTCCACAGACTCCTAAGTGCACCACTCACCCTTTTCCCCCATCAATTCTATGATTCACCTCATCTTTCATAACCCATCCGCTGACACATCCACTCCCAAATATCTGAATACATTCACCTCCTCCATACTCTCTCCCTCCAATCTGATATCCAATCTTTCATCACCTAATCTTTTTGTTATCCTCAAAAACCTTACTTCTTTCCGTATTCACTTTTAATTTTCTTCTTTTGCATACCCTACCAAATTCATCCACCAATCTCTGCAACTTCTCTTCAGAATCTCCAAAGAGCAACAATGTCCCTCAGCAAAGAGCAACTGTGACAACTCCCACTTTATGTGTGATTCTTTATCTTTTAACTCCACGCCTCTTGCCAAGACCCTCGCATTTACTTCTCTTACAACCCCATCTATAAATATATATTTAAAAAACCAGGTGACATCACACATCCTTGTCTAAGGCCTACTTTACTGGGAAATAATTTCCCTCTTTCCTACATACTCTAACTTGAGCCTCACTATCCTCGTAAAAACTCTTCACTGCTTTCAGTAACCTACCTCCTACACCATACACCTGCAACATCTGCCACATTTGCCCCCCTATCCACCCTGTCAAGCCTTTTCCAAATCCATAAATGCCACAAAGATCTCTTTAGGCCCTTTTCTAAATACTGTTCACTTATATGTTCACTGTAAACACCTGGTCCACACACCCCCTACCTTTCCTAAAGCCTCCTTGTTTTATCTGCTATCCTATTTTCCGTCTTACTCTTAATTTTCAATAATAACTCTACCATACACTTTTCCAGGTATACTCAACAGACTATCCCCTATAATTTTTGCACTCTCTTTTGTCCCCTTTGCCTTTATACAAAGGAACTATGCATGTCTCTGCCAATCCCTAGGTACCTTACCCTCTTCCATACATTTAATTAAATAATTGCACCAACCACTCCAAAACTATATCCCCACCTGCTTTTAACATTTCTACCTTTATCCCATCAATCCCGGTTGCCTTACCGTAACCCTTTCATTTTACCTACTGCCTCACGAACTTCCCCCACACTCACAACTGGCTCTTCCTCACTCCTACAAGATGTTATTCCTCCTTGCCCTTTTACACGAAATCACAGCTTCCCTAACTTCATCAACATTTAACAATTCCTCAAAATATTCCCTCCATTTTCCCAATAAATGGTATACAATACCAACAAGATGAAAATTAGCCCCTTAGGACTCCACACAGTCTTCTTCATCCTACACCCCAAATTTTCTGTATAATATTGACACCACTACATTGCTCTCAAATGGTTATGCCATAATACAGTCACGTAGTGTTGTCACTTGTGGCATGGCGATCATGTGAGTGATGAAACATGGGGAACTAGGAATTGAAAATTTAGTTTAGTCACCAAAAAAGAAAATGAGATTAAATTATTAAGGAAGAGCTATGACCCAAATTGTTAGTCATTAAGAATAGGGTAATTTATGCTCAAAGAGGTGGTGATATACATGAAGGGGCAGGATATGGTGAGGAGGAAGGTGATGGAGAAATGGTGTTTGATGAAGGTGAGAACAGCGATAATTATAATGACAGGCAGTAGATAAAGAACAGAATATGTACTGAGCAAATGAAAACATTTGTGAAAGAAAAAAAAAGGGATAGTACACAGAAAATTCTGAATGCAAAAATGAAAATACTTAAAACACTGAAACGGAAGGTGATTTTTTGCGGGACTACAGCCTCTAGTCACTTATTGACATACTCGTTTGCCGATGACTCGGACTTACGATGGGCTCTCTGATCACTATGCATACCTAAATAATGTATATTAGAGATGATTTCGTCTATTCTGTTTATTACAATATAGAGTACACTGCTGTATAAACATTTAAAAATATACCAGAAATGTTAAAAATGGTGCAAAGGTGACATTAAAACAATATCAAGGGTGGTTGACACAAACCCACTGCCATTAGAGCATGCTCCTCACTCAGCGACAAATTCGTTTACCGACATGATCTTAAGAACAGAGCTCCGTTATTAAGTGAGGAGAGGCTGCATATGCCTCCACAGTTCCAGAAGAGCTGAGGCAGTTTCTAACCTTGCTGTATAATGCGAGTTGTGGTAGGTGTGATGGCCCTTATGGGGGCAGTGAGTGTAGTGGCAGTGGGAGGTGGGGCTTGACGTGCTTTCACCACAGCCACCTGCAGCTGGGGACCCAGATACCCATACTCAGCCTTATAATCAGCCACAGTATCAGGAGGGTTGCGTAGTGTTTTGAGAACTGGTGCAACAGTTTTCTGTTGGATGATAATATTTGGGATAAGATATACAGATTTAAATAGTCTGAAAAAAATTACATGTAATTACAAGTAGGGCAGAAACACCTTAAGTGTGCTGATATTGCAATTCTGATGAACCAATGACAGCAACATCCCCACTCCACTTCATGAGTGCAGGCATTGCCCTTTACACCTCCAGGACTCTATCCCTCTCCCCTTTCACTCACCCACTCATTCTCTCACCCCTAGGTGCATACATACTTACTATAATCCACTTCTCACATCCAACCTTTATTTTAACTCATAATCCTTGGATTGAAATACTTATAATCCTTTTTCTTTTCTTTCCATTAATGGTCACTTATTATTACTGCTATATGTACCTTCCTAAGTTCTGATTCTCTCTAGACACACTGGATTTAATCCCATTACCCCTTCCCACTGAAATTCTCCTGCCCTTTACATTTATCTCAGTGCTAAAACATCTAGTTTCTTCTCATTCATAACATTAACAATCAATTCTTTCTTATCTGTACTACACCCAAGTACAGTGGAACCTCAAATATCGAACTTTCTTTGGTCCAGAAGGCTGTTCGAGTGCCTTTACCGAATGAATTTATTCCCAAGAGGAATAATGTAAATTAGATTAGTCCATTTCAGACCCTCAAAAATGCACTTATAAAAGCACTTACAAAAATACACTTACATAATTGGTTGTGTTGGGAGCAGTTAGATTTTTGAGGTTCCACTGTACACTCAAACACCCTAATTAAAAAATTTCCTTCTTTGATTTTTTAGTTACATGAATGTCCACCGTATATATATTTACAGTGACCCATTTTTCTGTTTTCTTACTGTATGTGACTTCTATTTATTGTTCAGTAATACTAAGAAAATGCCATTTTCTGGCTCTCACAATGCCTGCATACAACCCAATTTTTTTATATTGCACACACCTATGGCCCAGACCTTCTGATGGAGACTTAACTCGATTGATTGTGGCCATTTTGGAAGTCCTAGAATTTGTGTGTAAATTTACGCCGTACATTCATGACTCTGTTTTTATTCGTGAAGATGTGTTGCAAGCATATTCACTATAAGGCCAATAAAAATACAGTATAGTAAGGCCCCACTTACAGCAGGTTAGGTTCCAGGCTAACGCCGGAAACCAGACATCGCCGGAAAGAAGAGCGCCATTTTTTCCATTTATAAATGCACATAAATGCCAGATAACAAGTTTACACTAACATATATTAAGTTAGCAATAGAACTAGACATTAAGAACAATAAAAAGTAAAATACACACACAGTACAGTGGAACCTCCATGTACAAGTGCCCCAACGTGCAAGTTTTTAAAGATATGAGCAGTCGCTCGGTCGATTTTTTGCTTCCAGATGCAAACGGGCCTCAAGGGAGGTTCCTTGATGCTGGTGAGGGGCACTTGCTCTTGATCTAGGGAATTGGATCTCAGCTGTTTGTTGGACTATCTTACTGAAACTTGGGCAATGTATGATGGAAAGATGCTTCTTAATGTACACCAAAATTGAAAGAAATCGGACATAAATAATGGAGTTCATGTCTCAGCCATTAGCCACCCCTTAGCGATATATTTTCATGTGGTTTTTATGGTTGTATCTCGTTTTTTTTTTTGGTCTCATTTGATAGAATGGAAGATATATTACAGAAATAGATATGATTTTGATTGCTTTCACAATGAAAAGTACCTTGAAATTGAGCTCAAAGTAGCGGAAATGTTCGATTCTTTGGCGATGTTCAAGGGTAAACAAATGATGTCACTGTTCAATAAGTGTCCACTTGGCTAGTCTCATACACAGTCACGAATGGGTTGACATTATTTATACAATTACAGTGGACCCTCGAATGTCATGATTAATCCGTTCCAGAAAGTCTGCTGAATGGTGAAATTCACGACTGTGTACTCACCTATTTGTGGTTGCGTGTGTGTGTGTGTGAGTGTGTGAGAGAGTGTGTGTGTGTGTGTGTGTGAGAGAGTGTGTGTTTTGTGTGGTGTGTGAGAGTGTGTGTGTGAGTGTGTGGTGTGTGTGTGTGTGTGTGTGTGTGTGGTGTGTGTGTGTGTGGTGAGTGTGTGTGTGTGTGGTGGTGTGTGTGTGGGGTGTGTGACTCAACAATCAATATTTGCAACCAATAACTCCTTACAGTTGTGAGACGGGGTGAGAAGTGGGGAATTGCTCATTACACTATAATTTGTTCATGTTGTAGCCATGTATAACGTAAGTAACCATTCTTACAGAATTCATTACCTTTGTACCTAGTTCAGCTATCAAAACTTTGGGGGCCCAGTCACTGGACCCATTATGTACCTCTGTAATCTGTAAATACCTTTGTAACTTGTCATGACTGTGACCAGACCTACCTGGAGTTCATTACCTTTGTAAATTGTGAGTTCATTACCTTTGTAAATTGTGAGTTCATTACCTCTGTAACTTGCTCAGCTATCAAAACTTTGGAGTCCAGTCCTTGGACCAATTATGTACCTCTGTAATCTTTTGACTACTGCCCACAGGATGGGTATGGGGTGCATAATAAACATATTAAACTAAACTAAACCCATAAGAAATAATGGAAATCCAATTAATCCATTTCAGACACCTAAAAGTATTAACAGAATATACAGGTCTCCCTCAACATTCGCGTTTTCAACTTTCATGGGCTGCACACATTCGCGAATTCCCAACTGCTAAATTCCCAGCCGCCAAATCATATTTAAGTTTCCCGCCACCTGCGAGTTCCTACTACCCTCCCTCCGACCCCCGCAACTGGCACCCAGCCCTCCCACAACTGTGTGGTGAGTGTTTTGTTTGTTTATTATTTGCTATTTAAACTGCAGTATAAATAATGTAAACCCATTCATGACTGCATATTGGAATGGCTATTCGGACAGGTATTGGATAGTAACATCAAATGTTTACTCCTGAACACAGCAAAGAATCAAACATTTCTGCTACTGCTAATAATAATAATAATAATAATAATAATAATAATAATAATAATAATAATAATAATAATAATAATAATTATAATAATAATTATTGGGAATCAAATACAAAATGGGAATTGACACAGTTACTTTTTGCTGATGATACTGTGCTTATGGGAGATTCTAAAGAAAAATTGCAAAGGTTAGTGGATGAGTTTGGGAGTGTGTGTAAAGGTAGAAAGTTGAAAGTGAACATAGAAAAGAGTAAGGTGATAAGGGTATCAAATGATTTAGATAAACTTAAGTCAGTCACGTCAGTCAGCCAGTTATTCATCACACAAATTCATATATTTATTTCATTCTTTTTAACTGTACAAACTGACGCTTCATTAAGGCCACAGGCTATCTCTTATCTATCTCTATTTTCCTCATGACTACAAGACTTAAATGCATGTATCTTTTCTTGCCACTTTCAGCAACACTCGTATGCCTACTGGGTGCCATGAATGCTTGGCAGATACAAGATTTGGCAATTAAAAGATCAAAACACAATTTACAAACACAGCTCCTAGGCGAGAATTGTACTGGACACGTGTTCATGAAGGCTGGGATGGGGGTGTTGGGAGTGTTGGTGGTGGCAGGGGATGGCAGTAGGTCTTCCCCCACTGACACAATGGTCTCACCCACAGCCAGGCGGCAGCCTTCACTGGGGAAATTTTTTCCATGCCCGCAAACGGAACTGTGTTAAGTTAATTTTTATGAAGTGTTGTATAAAATTGTGCCACAATTTTTGAATAGTGCAATACCAAAATGTGGCGAAATAAATCTGTGTAATATAATGGTCTACTGTAAAATTTTGAAAAAAATCATAGATGGATTAATGAAAATGTTTATATTAATGTAATATATGACCTTTAATGCGCCTCAGAGTGATTATTATTGCGTATTATTATTATTATTATCATTATTAATATGGTGTCCCCAAGACTAAGACACTCTTAGTGATTACCTGCATGTATACCACTCTTAATGTATACCTGCATGCCAGCACAGTGTGGAAGTTTATTTAGGTACAGGTGAACATAAGTATAATTACCCGAGTATATATGAAACATGAAATAACTTTAAAAACACTGGAAATTTTGGAAAGTTTCCAGACATAATGGAGAAATGTGGAGCTTAGAGAGCTCACGGAGAACGTAAACAAACCGGGTGGGGTGCAGAGACCATATTAGAAAGTCAGGTGGGGGGAGCCATATATTGAGTTTTAATCACAATTTGAAATTTCTGTATTAGTGGAATGCCGTAAGGCGAAATGCTGTAAAGCGGGGCCCTACTGTATATTGAAAAGGAGGGTGGAGGGGATGAGAGGTAAAAATGGGGCAAGATATTAAAGGAAGTAAGGAATATTTATCCCTCTTACCAGCAACAGTCCTTTGATGTGGGACGCAGCATTTTTATCATATGCATTCATTCCTTCCATACACTGCTCGATCTTGTCACTCAAGGCCTTCAATTTTGGCATAACAAACACTTTAGTAACTTCTGGACCAAGTTCTGACAAGCCTGCAAATAAAAAATACATTATTAAGAAAGCAATTTTTGTCATTTAAGAGTAAATTATATTTTATAATTTACTGAATCCAAGCTATGACTGTTTTCAATTTTTTGTTTTTATTGTCTAATACTATATATAATAGTTTCTTGTTATATTAGATGTGTTTCAAGGTATTTTAGTACTTCAAACAAGGAGCAAATGCATGGCCCAATATTGCTCCACTTGCAATATACGTACAGTATAAATTTTTACTTTTTTTGTTTTACTGTTTTGGTCTGCTAATACTATGTGTAAGGAATACTTATGATGTAACATTTGTTGCAAGATATAATACTTCTCAAAACAAGAAAAAAGTCACCCTATTTGACTATAGTGGGTTATCCCAGGATAATTATTATATTATAGTAAACATAATTATAGGTACATGATGGCAGGATTGCTGGTGTCCTTTTTTCTGTCTCATAAACATGCAAGATTTCAGGTACGTCTTGCTACTACTACTTGCACTTAGGTCACACTACACATACATGTACAAGCATATATATACACATACACACCCCTCTGGGTTTTCTTCTATTTTCTTTCTAGTTCTTGTTCTTTTTTATTTCCTCTTATCTCCATGGGGAAGTGGAATAGAATTCTTTCTCCGTAAGCCATGCATGTTGTAAGAGACGACTAAAATGCCGGGAGCAAGGGGCTAGTAACCCCTTCTCCTGTATACATTACTAAATGTAAAAGGAGAAACTTTCGTTTTTTCCTTTTGGGCCATCCTGCCTCGGTGGGATACGGTCGGTGTGTTGAAAGAAAGAAACATGCAAGATTTCAGGTATGTCTTCCTACTTCTACTTACACCTAGGTCTCACTACACATACATGTACAAGCATATATATACACACCCCTGTGGCTTTTCTTGTATTTTCTTTCTAGTTCTTGTTCTTGTTTATTTCATCTTATCTCCATGGGGAAGTGGAACAGAATTCTTCCTCCGTAAGCTATGCGTGTTGTAAGAGGCGACTAAAATGCTAGGAGCAAGGGGCTAGTAACCCCTTCTCCTGTATAAATTGCTAAATTTAAAAAGAGAAACTTTTGTTTTTCTTTTTGGGCCACCCTGCCCCGGTGGGATACAGCCGGATTGTTGAAAGAAAGAATTATAGGTAGTAGGTTGGTAGACAGCAACCACCCAGGGAGGTACTACCATCCTGCAAAATGAGTGTAAAATGAGAGCCTGTAATTGTTTTACATGATGGTAGGATTGCTGGTGTCTTTTGTCTGTCTCGTAAATATGCAAGATTACAGGTACGTCTTGCTACTTCTACTTACACGTTTATTTTAGAGTGGGTAGGGGATGTGTAGATCAAACGTTTACATTGAAGCATATATGTGAACAGTATTTAGATAAAGGTAGGAAGTTTTTATTGCATTTATGGATTTAGAAAAGGCATATGATTGAGTGGATAGAGGAGCAATGTGGCAAATGTTGCAAGTATGTGGAATATGTCATAAGTTACTAAATGCTGTAAAGAGTTTTTATGAGGATAGTGAGGCTCAGGTTAGGGTGTGTAGAAGAGAGGGAGACTACGTCCCGGTAAAAGTAGGCCTTAAACAGGAATGTGTAATGCCACCATGGTTGTTTAATATATTTATAGATGAGGTTATAAAAGAAGTAAATGCTAGGGTGTTCGGGAGAGGGGTGGGATTAAATTATGAGGAATCAAACACAAAATGGGAAGTGACACAGTTATTTTTTGCTGATGATACTGTGCTTATGGGAGATTATAAAGAAAAACTGCAAAGATTAGTGGATGAATTTGGGAGTATGTGTAAAGGTAGAAAGTTCAAAGTGAACATAGAAAAGAATAAGGTGATGAGGGTATCAAATGATTTAGATAAAGAAAAATTGGATATCAAACTGGGGAGGAGGAGTATGGAAGAAGTGAATGTTTTCAGATATTAGGGAGTTGACGTGTCAGCAGATGGATTTACGAAGGATGAGGTTAATTATACAACTGATGAAGGAAAAAAGGTGAGTGGTGCACTGAGGTATATGTGGAGACAAAAAATGTTATCTATGGAGGCAAAGATGGGTATGTATGAACATATCGTAGTACCAACACTCTTACATGGGTGTGAAGCTTGGGTTGTAAATGCTGCAGCGAGGAGGCGGTTGGAGGCAGTGGAGATGTCCTGTCTAAGGGCAATGTGTGGTGTAAATAGTACAGTGGAGCCCCGCATACCGTCGCCATCACATAACGTACAATTCGCATACCGCTCGCTTTTATCGCAAAATTTTTGCCTCGCATACCGCTCAAAAACCCGCTCACTGCTCTTCGTCCGAGACGCGTCCAATGTGCGCCCTTAGCCAGCCTCACATGTGCCGCCGGTGCATTGTTTACCAGCCAGCCTCCGCGGTAACATCCAAGCATACAATCGGAACATTTCGTATTATTACAGTGTTTTTGGTGATTTTATCTGCCAAATAAGTGACCATGGGCCCCAAGAAAGCTTCTAGTGCCAACCCTACAGCAATAAGGGTGAGAATTACTATAGAGATGAAGAAAGAGATCATTGATAAGTATGAAAGTGGAGTGCGTGTCGCGACCTGGCCAGGTTGTACAAGAAACCCAAATCAACCATCGCTACTATTGTGGGCAACAGAAAGGCAATCAAGGAAGCTGTTCTTGCCAAAGGTTTAACTGTGTTTTCGAAACAGAGATCGCAAGTGATGGAAGATGTTGAGAGACTCTTATTGGTGTGGATAAATGAAAAACAGCTAGCAGGAGATAGCGTCTCTCAAGCGATCGTAAGCGAAAAGGCTAGGAAGTTGCATGAGGATTTAATTAAAAAAATGCCTGCAACTAGTGATGATGTGAGTGAATTTAAGGCCAGCAAAGGTTTGGTTTGAGAGATTTAAGAAGCGTAGTGGCATACATAGTGTGATAAGGCATGGTGAGGCTGCCAGTTCGGACCACAAAGCAGCTGAAAAATATGTGCAGGAATTCAAGGAGTACATAGACAGTGAAGGACTGAAACCTGAACAAGTGTTTAATTGTGATGAAACAGGCCTGTTTTGGAAGAAAATGCCAAGCAGGACCTACATTACTCAGGAGGAAAAGGCACTCCCAGGACATAAGCCTATGAAAGACAGGCTTACTTTGTTGATGTGTTCCAATGCTACTGGTGATTGCAAAGTGAAGCCTTTATTAGTGTATCACTCTGAAACTCCCAGACGTTCAGGCAAAAGAATGTCCTCAAGGAGAATTTGTGTGTGCTGTGGAGGGCAAACAGTAAGGCATGGGTCACTAGGGACTTTTTCTATGACTGGTTACACCATGCATTTGCCCCCAATGTGAAAGATTACCTAACTGAAAAGAAATTAGAACTTAAGTGCCTCTGGTGTTAGACAATCCCCCTGGTCATCCTACAGAGTGGAGAAGCGACTTTATGGGGACATGAAATTCATTAAGGTGAAGTTTTTGCCTCCTAATACCACTCCTCTCCTGCAGCCCATGGACCAGCAGGTTATTGCAAACTTCAAAAAACTGTACACAAAAGCTCTGTTTGAAAGGTGCTTTGTAGTGACCTCAGAAACTCAACTGACTCTAAGAGAGTTTTGGAGAGAGCACTTTAATATCCTCAATTGTGTAAACCTTATAGGTAAGGCTTGGGAGAGGAGTGACTAAGAAGACCTTGAACTCTGCTTGGAAGAAACTGTGGCCAGAATGTGTAGACAAAAGGGATTTTGAAGGGTTTGAGGCTAACCCTGAGAGGATTATGCCAGTTGAGGAATCCATTGTGGCATTGGGAAAGTCCTTGGGGTTGGAGGTTAGTGGGGAGGATGTGGAAGAGTTGGTGGAGGAGGACAATGAAGAACTAACCACTGATGAGCTGATAGATCAACTTCAACAGCAAGAGGCCAGACCTGAGGAAACTGGTTCAGAGGAGGGGAGAGAGAAATTGAAGAAGTTGCCTACTACAAAGATTAAGGAAATCTGTGCAAAGTGGCTTGAAGTGCAAACCTTCATTGGGTGAAAATCACCCTCACACAGCTATTGCAAGCCGTGTTGGCAACCTGTACACTGACAATGTTGTGAAACACTTTAGGGAAGTCATAAAGGAACGAGAGGTACAGGCCACTATGGACAGATATGTTGTGCGAAAGAAGTCCAGTGACTCTGAAGCTAGTCCTAGTGGCATTAAAAGAAGAAGGGAAGTAACCCCTGAAAAGGACTCGACACCTCAAGTCTTAATGGAAGGGGATTCCCCTTCTAAACACTAACACTCTCTCTCCCCTCCTCCCATCCCATCAATCATCACCAGATCTTCAATAAAAGTAAGTGTCATGTAATTGTGCATGCCTTTTTCAGTTTGTGTGTATTAAAATTAACATTTCATGTGGTAAATTTTTTTTTTTCATACTTTTGGGTGTCTTGCACGGATTAATTTGATTTCTATTATTTCTTATGGGGAAAATTCATTCGCATACCGATCATTTCGCATAACAGTGAGCCCTCTTGCACGGATTAAAGTCGCTATGTGGGGGTCCACTGTATTATGCAGAAAATTCGGAGTGTGGAAATTAGGAGTAGGTGTGGAGTTAATAAAAGTATTAGTCAGAGGGCTGAAGAAGGGTTGTTGAGGTGGTTTGGTCATTTAGAGAGAATGGATCAAAGTAGAATGACATGGAGAGCATTTAAATCTGTAGGGGAAGGAAGGCGGGTTAGGGGTCGTCCTCGAAAAGGTTGGACGGAAGGGGTAAGGGAGGTTTTGTAGGCGAGGGACTTGGACTTCCAGCAGGTGTGCATGAGCGTGTTCGATAGGAGTGAATGGAGACGAATGGTATTTGGGACCTGACGATCTGTTGGAGTGTGAGCAGGGTAATATTTAGTGAAGGGATTCAGGGAAACCAGTTATTTTTATATAGCTGGACTTGAGTCTGGAAATGGGAAGTACAATGCCTGTACTCTAAAGGAGGGGTTTCGGGATGTTAGCAGTTTGGAGGGATATGTTG